ACCATGGCCTGTGGGAGAAGTGAGGACTGTGCATGTGTGTCCTACAGACCCAAAAGTGGTTTGTTCCCTCAGGAAATAATTTATTCTCCACAGGCCAATCAGAGGTCAACGTTAGAGAGAGCATGGTCCAATTGGTGTGCTGCTTTTTGACCTTTATTTATCACAGCCAGGGGAGCTGGCAGCCTGAGGGCCACTGAAAGAGGAATAGGAAAGGCATAAGTTTCACTACTTAGACAATGGTGGTGACTGTGAAGGGTTACTGTGCATCTTTGAAAAGGAACTGTGTAAGCCTGACACACTGCAAGGTTTAAGTTACAGACCAACACATCGCCTGCAAAGGCTGTTTAATAAGACATGATTAAAAAGGATTGCATGTGACGGATCAATACAAATGAGTGCATCACTGTAGAATTAAATAAACTTGGGATGTACCTAAATGTAATGACGTCATGCTGGGTGTACATATTTCTTTTACAGGGATGGGAATTAATTGTGATTAGTTGATTATTGAAATAACCTCACCTAATATAGTAATCAATTCATTAACTGGAGATTAGAGACTGCAAACTATGCCTTAGCTGACAGAGCAACCCACTTAGAGCAGTAATTATTATTTCATTTAAAATGGAAAAAAAAAAACTTTTGTTTTCTGTCAATATGCTCTATACAAGTGGAAAAGTTTTATTTTTACCTGGCTTAATTCTTTTAAAATCTGCTTTAAAGAACGTTTTGCTCTTGGATGATTAATTGATTAATCAAAAAATAAAAAAAATCATCAGATTTATCGATTTGCAAAGTGATTTTTAGTTGCATTCCTAATCTGTACCATACTTAAACATGACGGTGGCAGAATGATGCTGTGTGGATAAAGAAGAGAAAATGCAGGATGGGGAATTATTTCTGGAAGAGTTCCTGATAAAATAAGCAAAAGAGATAATCTGTATCTATACACCCACGTTTGCAAGATGCTGCATTAAAAGGAACGGTTTGCTAAACATTTAAACAAACATTTCCATCTCTAGCGAAGCTACAAAGAACATTCTAGAATGATTGGATGGAAGAAATAATGAACCCTGTGGAATGAGTGTGGGTCTAAACAAATATTTACACAGGACGGTGCATGCATCCTTCATTTTGTTCATGGTTGGGTTTATGACCGCATTCTCCACTCCGCCTTCTAATTTTTATCCCGTCGTTTTCTCCAGAGGCAGCTGTGTCCCTGTGCTTATTGGTGCTCCACAATCTTTAGCTCTGAATCTCAAGAGGGTTATCAGGAATATACTTTTACTCTGCTGATGTTCCTAAAAAGAGAGTATGTCTTTTATGTCACACAGCCATCCAAATGCACACAGACATGTCACTGGTCGAGTTGTGCAATGATATGGCGTAGATTATATCCAAGAGATTTAATGGAAAGATATAAAAGGCTGCAGAGAAGATATAATTTTACCCTGAGTCCTTATGTTCTGCTCATTCTTCCTGTACTGTCATCATCTGCTTGTTTCTATCTTACACTGCTTTGCATAGAAGTCAACTAAAATCACATTTGAAAGCAAAAGTGTTTCTTTTTTTTGGCTTCTGTTTCTTTCCTCTAGATGGCTTATATAACTCTTTAATTTGATTTCATATTTTGTAGTTTTATTAGCCGATTCACATTTTCTTAACCCCTGATTGAGTGTTTACCTTAGAAAATGGGCTAAGCTCGATGGTAGGGGTCTTTAGAGAAGCCCACCAGATGTTTTTATTAAGGAATAAAAAAAAAAAAAGCTGTTTGATTATTGGTTATTATAAGATCTTTTTGACATTTAAATAAAGCTCTCTTCAGATACTGTTTTAAAATAACAAAAAAAATCCGATATCAATCTGATTCAAGTGAATGAACTATATATGTTGCCATGTAAGTGAAGGATTTAACCTTGACATAAACATTGTTTAAAAAAAAAAGGTAACGAATGAACACAGATATAAATGTACTATATGTTATTTAAAAAAAATAAGCAGCAAAAAGAAAGGAATAAAAGTTCTATGTAAAGAATAAGAGATATCAGATATCAAATCACTGATGTCTGATCCAGCGAATTAGTCAATATTGCAGCGAATATCCGATCCAGGTACCAGATCAGTGTTTATTAAAATGAGCAGTGTATTGCTGGTCACAGTAGAAATGAAAATAAATATAATATAAAGTGCAAATAAAGAATCAACACACTTATCAGTTAAAAAATAACCAAACAAGGCTTTAAACTGATCAATTATTGTTCCAACGTGCTCCATGTTGATCACAGGCTCAAAGTTTTTTGGTGAAAAACAAATTTAGAGATTAAGAAAAACTTTCTAGGAATGCATTTAAGTCTGTGTAATGTATAAAAATTATCCATTGTTTTTAGTTTGCATCCTGTCATCTTAACACAGGTTCTCTGGAGACGAAAGCCTGATGGGCATTATAAAGAAGCTTTAATAAGGCCTATGGAGAATCTTCAGGAACTTGGGCAAAATGTAACAAAAAAGCCAACATAAAATCTAAAGTTGAATTTAGTTGCAATATTTTACAGCAGTAGTTCAACCTATGCATGTGAAGGTTCTCAGTCATCCAGGTCATAGTCATTCCAAAAAACGTAAAGGCAATCCACTGGACTTGGTTTCCGAGTTTGAAGACGTTTTGCTTCCCATCAAGGAAGCTTTTTCAATTCAAAATGTCAGGAATAGCGTTGAGTTCGAGGTTTTATACAGTAGCCACACAAAGTCTTGTTTTTTTTTTTTTTTTGAAAACATGCACATTGGAACAGAGGAAGGGGTCCACCCATTTGCAATGGGGGTCGTTTGGCTTCTTTTGTTAGACTGCAATACCCCATACCCATCTAATTTTGCAGTCTTGCAAGACTTCAAACTCGGAAACCAAGTCCAGTGGATTGCTTTTAATTTTTTTGGAATAGTTCAACCTATATATAGTTTTTGTAATACAGTTAATATTTTCTTGTTGTAGAAACCCGTACCATGTCTTAAATAGCTGAACTGGGTCATCAATCCATTTTGGGTAAAATGTTCTGGTTCCAGGTTTAGAATCATTTTAGAAAAGCAGACCAGTTGCTGTGTTTCCTGTTAGTCTGCAAGTAAATAAGCAACCTTTACATCTTCTCTGATTTGGAATAAAGAAGGTATCCAACATACACTGACATTTTATCTGTGACGCATCGCAGAGGAAGGGTCGGGTGATTAGGCGGTGACTATAAAATATATTTATTAAATAATTTACTTAGTTTTCTCTTTGACCCAGACTTAAAGCTAGTTATGTTTAAGAAATGAACAAAGTCAGAATCTAACCAGATTTTATGCTGTTTATAAATTAATTGTAGCTTCTAATCCTGTCCAAACATGGCTGTGCTTTGTGCTACAGAGAGAAAAACGCACCAATCGGTCAGTTAGAACTCAGAATAAGGGATTTGTAGGTGAACCACAGATAAAATATATATTTTCTCCTCATTTCAGAATCAGAATCAAATTTATTGCCAAGTAGGTTTGCACTTACAATGAATTTGACTTGGTGTTGATGGTGCAGACACATTATATATACAGAATCTATAGCTATATAGAACATTTGTTAAATTCAAGAACTCCCAGCATTTTTGGTCTGTTAACACCTTAAATATCGACATGAAGTGTGATTCTGCTGAATGTCAGTGACATGTGCTTTGATGCATAAATGGGCTTATCTTGTAATTCTTGAAAATATCATTTTCTTTTTAAGTAAAAATCTACAACTCTTTTTATAGTATGCGTAGCACCCATTTCTTTAATATTTAGCTCATATTTTTTTTAAAGAAATTGTTAAAAATGGGAATGAGTGCTGAAACTCTTATTCGAGATTGTTGGAATAATTATCAAACTAATTTACTGATCCATTAATCATTAACTGGAGTATAGACTCCAAAACCAACCAACCCTCTCAGATCAGTAATTATATTAAAATTGTAAAAAGAAAAAGACTAAATTTTTCCATTCAAGTTAAATTCTGCATAAAATCTTGTTAAGGGACCTTTTTACATCTGATTATTAGTCGATTAATAAAAAAAAAAAAAAGATAAAAAAAAATTGTAAATAGTTGTTAGTTCCAGCTGACACTGCAATTGACATGCCAGACTTCAAAGATGACCAGCAATCAGTAGCTTAGATAACACCAGCATGGTGGTGACTCATTTCTAGAGGTTTTACTGGATGTCTATCTCTTTCGCTCTCTGTCAGTTTCCTGTCTAAATATTGTGACTTTAGAAATGAATCTACAAATAAAAGCATATACAGCAGGTTTTCTATAATTAAGGGTTTTTTCCTAACCAAATTGAGAAAACGTTGACTCATTTTGTTCCCTAGCTGACTGATCTGTGGGTCTTAATTTCTGTCAATAAGCAGGATTGAATGATTGTATTTTCCTGTTATATATAGTTGTAACAGAAAAAAAAAAATGCTTTAGTTTCTGCTTGAATCTCGTAGAATTTTTTAAAAGTGATTGTCCTGGCTTCGCCCATCTCCAGGTTTTATGATCGTTGGTGCAGAACCTGTGGTTGCACTGACCGTTGCCTTCAGTGCAGAGATAAGAAGCTTAAACCTGATGTTCAGCTGATTGAACTGGTTGGATCTGTATAGTTATATGGTGCACACTGTGCACCGAAAAAATGCTCACCAACAGATCTTAAGTTTGACAAGCCATCTGTGTGACCAGGCCGATGGCAGCCTGTTTCAGCCGAGCATTCTGTTTTCTTTTTGTTTGTTTTTTTAAACAGTTTTTTTGTTTCCTAATCCAAATTTCATTAAATTTAATGGCAATAATTCTTAAAATATGGAAGCATATCTTCCGTAAAGTAGTAAGAACCACTCTTACTCCGACACTAGAACTATTTCCTCCGTTTCCTCTTCCTCTTTTATTTTCATCTCTAGTAGAACTTTAAATGCTGTAAACATTATTCAGCGGTGAAGATATTAACCAAATCATTGTCTTTGTGTTGCAGGAGTCTGAAATCTTCGACATCAGCTCAATCAGGGACACAAGAACAGGAAAATATGCCAAGCAGCCAAAGGTTGGTAACGTTTCCTTGTGTTTGAGTCAGAAAGTGGAAGATTGAAGCTTTTTTCCCCCTCTGCTGTCAGAAACTCTCTCCTCAGACCACGGATGTGATGTTGAAGTGTTACTGTCAGGAAGAAGTGTGTGTATGTTTCCTCACCCAGCTGATGGTGCTAAGGTGACGGGGTGTTAATGAGGCGGCTGACAGATGGCCCATCAGACAGGAAGTGATATAACCAGTTACTGGTAATGAGGAAGTTAATGTGAAAGGGAGCTTTATTTGGACGCAGATGAAACAACGTTTTAGACCTAGTTGATGTTTACATTGTGTAGCTCAGTTGTAATAAATGAATTAAATATTTAAATATAAAATGTATTTTTTTTTATACCCAACATTGTGGGGTATAAACCACACAAACCAATATGTTATTCATTTTCTAGGTAAAGCTGTATAAAATGGAATAAATAAAAGATAAAAGGAAAAAATTGCTTTATATGAAGTAAATGAAAGCTTTGTTTGAAATGTGCTTTTCTTTTCTTTCTGCCAAACTGAATCCCAGCATGACAGAAAATAGATCTTTAAAGAGGGAAACAAAAACGGATCAGCAGTCTATCCTATAATATAAGAGACAGTGGTGCACTTCTCTAAAACATTTGTGCAGAAAAAGTTCAAGTTTAAAAGCTATTTTTTTCTCAGTGTTCCCAGTGTAGATAATCCCAAGAGCACAAAAACAAAACAAAAGTTGGAGATAAACCAGTATCATTGGGAATAAACCAACTTGAAGCTTTGATACAGCCTGAGATATTCAAGATACTTCATAGGATCCTTCCCCCGTCTCTCTGTGTTGTGAAGGAAAAACAGTCCACAGCCGTCCCAGTCCAAAACATTTAGCCAAGCAAGCGACGCTCTGCAGGAGGCGTCTCTGCTCTTATTAAAGCTTGCAATAAAAGGAGAACAAATTCCAAGGGTTCATCATGCGGTGAAAACTATTTATACACTAAGAAGGAAAATTAAGTAATTTATTATCAGCCATTTAAAGTCAGTCTGATGGAGTTCGTGTTTTGGTTCGTTTTCCTGCTGCAGTAAACTTTAATAAGGGTCACATAAGAGGAGACTCGTCATTTAGAGGATTCCCAAACATTTCAGTTTCTGACCACAGAAATATAAAGGCTCACAGACTAGGAACTCTTTGAAAATGCATACAATTATTTCACTCTATATTTATATATAGATATAAAGGTGCGCGATGGTGCTGCAGGGTAAACGGGCGACCCATGTGCAAATTTTCTATGACATTTAAATATTTAATTCATACTTTTAGAATGGCTTTTACAATTTAAAGGGATTTATTGATTTTTATTGTGCAATTTATAACTTCAATTCAATTCAGTTTATTTATATAGCACCAATTCACAACACATGTCCTCTCAAGGCATTTTACTATTCAACTAGATCATACAGTCAAATTGATTCAATCTATAATTCTGTCTAAGAAAAACCAGTGGATTGCATCAACTCATTGACTTGAAGGCAATCCCTTACACTAAACATGCTTGTAGCGACAGTGGAGAGGAAAAACTTCCTTTCAACAGGAAGAAAACCTCCAGCAGAACCAGGCTCAGTGTGAGTTTCAAGGAAACAGAAGCAGACATATAGAAAGAAGCAGAGATCCAAAAGGCAACTGTCAACCAGCTCCACAGGCGGCCCTGTCCAGGAAACACACAGCCAGGCAGAAGAGCTCCGAGCCAGCTCCCATGGCAGAGGATGAAAGGGAGCTCATACAGTCAGTCACAGTCAGAGAAACATTACTACACAAAAAAAAAAAAACAAACCTCGAACATCTATAAACAAAGGTGTTCATGGCAAAGGCACAACTGATATTTCAATGTCTTATTCTTTCACAGCCAAACAGGAACAGACCAGATGAAGCTACTTGGATGAGAAAAAGCAGAGAGAGCATAATGTTACAGATTGAAAAACAAATACTGTAGAATGGGAGAATAGATATATAGAATGAAGTAGAATGTTGAAAAGGGTGCCCTATGCCCTCCAGCAGTCTAAGCCTATAGCAGCATAACTATAGAGATAGCTCAGGATAACCCGAGCCACCCTAACTATAAGCTTTATCAAAAAGCAAAGTTTTAAGTCTACTCTTAAAAGTACAGAGGGGGGTCTGCCTCACGGACTAAAACTGGATGCATAAATGTGACATTTGGTAGATGGTTAATTTATTTATTTTATGGGACATTCTTATTTATGTATTTTGTTATTTTTTTTTTACCCTTTGTATACCTCGGATTTGTGAAACCTTTATGCAGTAGGAATTTGTTTCCTTTAGAGAAATTCGGAATGTTTACCATTATATTAAACATTTTATTTAGTAATCTTAATTTCTACAGACCCATTCTGTCAGTTCCTTGGCTCTGTTTTAACAGCGATGTAAGTTCTAATTCTAATAGGTCTGGGATGAAATTAATGACTGGTTTCCATACATTATTCCTCTTTTTGTTCTCTTAATTTGCCATCCATTATTTAATTTGTTCATTCACTCCTGCTTCATTGTCTTTTTTTTTCTTCAATCTAAATACTTAGCTATGACAAAATTCAAAAAGTCTAGAAATTCTTGGAGACATTTGCAGTTATTGCAGCAAAATACCTAAATGCATAATCCAAATTCCAGTGAAATTAAGTTCTCTGCTGAATAGACATTTACAATTGCTTCAAGTTAAAATATCTTGGAGATTCTATTGATGTATAACTTTTCGAAAAATAAACGCAGCTTTAAAGATATTTCAATTTCATGAATTTGTTGAGTGCTGAACAGATGCTTTGAAAAGCATTTTATGATGCTTGTTGACAGTGTTTTTGATGTACGCCCCCATTACTTTTCTGTTTTGATTTGCCTTCATTTGGATACCAAACACACACTGTAGTAATGGAGTTACTGGAACTGTCAAACAGCAGAAACAGTAAATGCAGGTTTAAAAGTTCAAAAGCATCACATTATGTCAAGGAACATTTCTGTCAATCAGGAAAAGGAGTTTTTAAACCACAAAACATTAAAACTCAGTTTGTTTTTTTTTTTTTTTAGATTTCTTTAATAAATATGTTGATCAAGACATTGGGTACAGGTGTCTCCACATCATTTAATGTGACCCTCAGATTACAGATTAAATCCTGTTTCAAGTGCTATATTTAGCTAATCAGTCATTGTTTTGAACAGGAAAAACAAGTTTGTAAGAAAATCTGCCTCAGAACAAAAATAAAGAAGTGAATGAATGGATCAGGTGCCAGATGAACTCTTGGGTCAACTAGCAGCAGTTCAGCGGACAGGATGAATGAAGGGTAGCCGGCCGGGCGGATGACGTCATACACACTCCGCTTTGTTTTTTAGAAGCTATAAATATAAAAAATCTAACCGTGGATGTCTGGGGCACAGTGATTCGCCTACATGTTATGAATGCTGGTGTATCATAAAGAATAAATTATGAACAGTTTAGTTTGTGTCTTCAACTCGTTGCCCATAGGAAGACGTTACTTGGATATAACCTAACGGAATATCTTCAGTACAGCTCCAAATGACGCAAAACTCATATGGATGAGTAGAACATGATGTCATAACGTAAAATCAAGGGCCAAATGTAAAAAAAAAAAAAAACGGTGTTCCCCTTTAATGCGATTATTCCGGTTTCATTTCTCACGTCTTTTTAAACATTCACAAACAAATCTGTTTCATAATAATTAGATTTATTTAAACTTTAAATAAATCTAATTATTATGAAACATATTTGTTTGTTCACTATACTGACGGGCATCATGTCTTTCGCTACAAACTCCGTTATTGAGTTATTTCAGTGTGCCATTTCGCATTTTGTTCGTAAGGAGTAACACAAATGGTTCAAACAGTTCGGTCAGTGATTCCCGTCGGGTGGTATTGTACTTAATTGATGTTGAGGCACGGGTAGTTGCCATTCTTGCCATGCAACTATCATACACAGCCTTGTGGTGGGTTTTCAAGTGTTGATAAAGGTTTGTCGTGTTACCTCGTGAGGTAGCAACAATAGCAAAGCATGTCCGGCACGACACCTGACGTTGCGCAGCGTCTTCTTTTTTAAACCCAAAATAATTCCACACAAGTGACGTACTGCTCCTCTTTGGTGCCAGACATTCAGTTGTTTCAGTTTTTGTCCAGTCTGAGGCCATTGTTCAGCAGGTTAGTCACGGACGATATTGAGTTTGCCTCTGTGTTACTTTGCCAGCGCTTCACCCCTCATCACGTGACCTGTCAAATCGTGTCCTTTGCAGTTAGAAAATCTTGTTTTATCCTATCGCGATATTATTGCAAATGCAATTTCTACTTTAAGGTATGATGTTTTTGCCTCAAATTATTTTAAAACGTACTTTTGAAGAGCAATGGCATCAGAAACATGAACTTTTAACGTAGAACTCTGAGCTCGATGAGCGCTCTCCTGCAATCTGCAGCTGCCGTGGTGCATGCTGGGAGAGCTGTCAGTCTGAAGACTACAAAGTGCTGTATATAAAATGACCTCCAGCAGAGGTATCCCAACTTTCCCTTCGTTGACCGCCATGCCTCTGTTAACAAGACATTTCTTGCACTTTGTGGGAGAAAACACCCCTCATTGGGAAATACTCTTAGTGTCTGATTAAAAACAGGAAGCTCTACAGAATGAGCCCTATAGGCAGGAAATAGAAAATCTATGAGCGATCAATGAATAATTTATTTTAATAAAATGACCTCTTCTGCCTCAAATTATACATGTAAAAAGCCTGTATTCTTGGAGAGCTTACAATAAAATCAGGTACAGGGCCTTCAAGGACAGAAAACACTCAAAATATATTTTTTTTTCTCTTTTAACTGCTGTTGAAATCCCATAATTGTTTTTTTTATTATTATTTAGCATGAGAAGTAAGTGTTCTTTAAGGTCAATCTAAAGATATGCACATTGAATGGAACATTACAATTTGTATGACTACTTTATAGACTTTACACCAGAATATCTCAGATCAAAATCTGCTCTGCTTCTACTTTTTAAATTCGAACCTACACAAATAAAAGCTGCAGGTATAGGATGTTTTTTACTTATTTTATTTTTTTTCTATAGAAAAAAACACCCCATAATGGCTAAAACCATGTAAGAAGTTAAAAAACTAAAAATTCTGGAGTATTGGTATGAGTGTAGAGACAGGCATTTAACTAAAATAGTTGCAAAAGGGCATTTTTTGAAGCAAAAAATTAAGTGAAATAGACATTTTGGTAACTGCATATCATGCTTCAACATTTCATCCATGAAACTATTTTATTAGTGTAATAATAAACTAATATTTGACTAAAACTCCCTATCTTCGTTCTGCTATGTATAACTTGACTTTCTGCTCTATGCTACTAAAGTAGTAAAATTCTTTATCAGCTGTTTGGAAAAGCAACCGCAAACATAAATGGGAGCAAATATGAAAATCTTCCAGTGAATTTAGGGCTCACGCATAAAGAAAAAACTGTCTCTCACCACAGAAAAAATCCTGTTCCCTCATGAGGAAGTTCTGTCCCATAATGCCCTGCTGTGCCACAGATTTGAATACCTGCCTCGGTAAACCAGTTATATCTTTGAATCTATCTTTCATCTGAAGTTCCTGAAGGACAGGGCCGTCCACTAATCTATATTAGATGTTTTTCTGTGAGTGTTGGTTTAACCTCAGACCTCTATAACCTGCAATACATTTATAGTATAGGTGCACAAAATAGATTCAAATGTACTTGAAGAGTTTATGTCAATGAATCAAAAAAGGGAAACACATTTTGTTTAAAGGGAAGGATTTTTAATGGAAATTGTGTTGTTTTGGACATGCACTGGTCAATGACACACTCTAAGAAAAGGCCTGAAATCAAAAGCATATTATGTAAAGTTTAATGGAAGGAAAAAGGTGGTTTGAAAAAGTCTACATATGTGAATTGAACTTTAATTCTGAGGTCCACTTTTATTTATGTGACCAGAATTTGGAAAGTTGGAGCTTTTTCCTAAGGAGGTAGTCCTACTTAACCTTGCTCTGTAATATGAGACGTCTCTGAGGAAGAATGATCCATAATTGAGAAACGGATGCGGAGTATCAGAGGGAGTCAGTAGGCTAAAAAGGAGGAAAGAGTCATTTAGTTAATTAGTTTAGAGTGCAGAGCCTCATGCATCAAATTTACTCTCTGAAGACACAGACACAGTTTGTCCTCCTCAGTCATAGATAGTTGTTGGATTCTTTATGATAACTGAAGCCATTTTGCTCTTTTATCAGGATGCCAGGCTATGGGAGCAGATGCGCTGTGGTGAAGGGGACAGTGAATTAAAGCTGCTAACCATCGTCTACGGAAACGATCTGGTCAACATCTCCTTCATCTGCTTGCTGGGTCTTTCTGAGGAAACCACACGGGTAATCCTAGAGCTGAGCATCCATCTTCCTGTCACTCCACCTCCCTCCCTTTGACCATATGCTGATGACACACTTGATAAAGTTGAAACAGTTGTTTAAAGAAATCCCTTCCTGTCGTGTGTCGAGTCTGTCTTCTAGCTTTATGACATGTTCTGTCATCATGTATGTTCCTTTTCAGTTATGGACAGAGGAGCTTTTCTCCTTGGCTACAAACATCCTCTCCCACAATGCATCCAGGAACACCTACCTTCTCAAAGCGTAAGACCCCTTCCTTCCTTCCTTCCTTCCTTCCTTCCTTCCTTCCTTCCTTCCTTCCTTCCTTCCTTCCTTCCATATTGTATTTAAAATAGCATAAAACTCTGGTGATATGTAGATTCTTTACAGGTGAAATGAGGAACACTGTTTTTAGATATTCTTAGTGACACTTGCACTCTGGTTTATTTCAGGTACACTAAAATAAAGCTTCAAGTGGGTCCGGATGGGAAGGTTCCTCTGAAGTGGTGAGTTAAAGCCTCTTTACAATTTCCACACACATCTCAGGTCAATAAATTACTATCAATAAAAAATAACTTGGTTTAAAAAAAAAACAACAAAAAAACTTTTTCAGGAAATGTTCCCTTTATTGGATAATGAATCGCCAACGATAGGGAATTTTTTTTTTTTGTTAAGGTGAAAGGAGTTTTCAATTATACTTGTCACATTCAAGCGTCATTACTATCAGAACTGTAGAATCATGAAATGCGTTAAATCAAACCGGTCTGATGAGCTTAAATCTCCTGACAGATCTCAGGAAAACAGTTCATGAACTCTGGATAATCGGGAACAGATGGGAAAAAGAATCATTTACATGTGACAGTCTGTAAAAGATTACTAAACCTATTGTAATGTTTTATGACCTTCAGAGGAGTGGTCGGTCCATCGAAATAAGTCACACAGCGCATTAATGACTCATTCTAATGATTAGTAAAGAGCCCAGAACAACTGCATCACAGCAGACCTCAGCTACCTCAGCCATGGTCAAAGTTCATGATTCAACAAAGAGAGAGAGACACTGAGCCCAAACATCCATAATGGGGTTGATCCAAGGTGTAGACCTCTGCTGATCAAAAACACCAATAAGATCACCTAAATCACCTAAATGATCCCAGACATTTAATCAAATAAGGGACTTTTTGAAAGATATGTGTCCTGATGCATAAAACTAAGAGTGCATTTCAGAAAATCTGTCATATAAATACTAAGGCATGGTAGTGGTGGTAGTATGATGGTCTAGGCCTTCTTTATGGCCCGAATAACTGGCTGCAGTTACAGTATTCATAGGTTCTGGTCTTTTGCAGAATCTCAGTGATCCAAGCCCACCTCTGAACGGCTGAAAAGATAGAAACGAAAGGTTCAGAGTGGTCTAGTCAAAGTCTTTTGTAAAACACAGTTGAGATGCAGCTGTATGTCCTGAATCTGAACTTATACTCTTTAAAGTCCTTCATTCTGACTTGATAGCAAGTCTGTGAAATAGGCTGCGCCAGCAATCCTCCACATTGATTTAGAAGATTCATCGGTTAAAGGGCGACTCAGACACTTGTTTGTTTGAATAGATGTATCTCTTAACAATTGAAAACATCATTTACCGAAGTTATCTTTATCAGTTAATAATTTTTGTATAGGAATACATAAGCTGAATTTTTTTTTAAATCAACATAAAATGAAGATGACAAATAAACTTCCTCAACAAAACCAGCTCTTGTTTTTGCCTTGCAGCATCCTGAAGATGTTCTCTGATAAGAAGAGAGTGGAGACGACTCTGGAGCAGTGTGGCCTCCTCAACAACAAGGTCATTATTGGATCTCTTATCTCTAACCGAAAAATAGGCTTTGGTTTGTGCACGCAAGTAGGACTATCTGTTTTTTTTGTTGTATACAGGTACATTCTCGGCAAACCTTAAAAGTAAAAAAAAACATACTCTGAATAAGGGAGAAATAGATAACACTTAATTTGTTATATTGATGATAATGGAGGAATTCAATATTTAATGAGGGGGTTCCTTTGGTATTGTTGACATGTGAGGCCGTCTGTGTTTCCAAGCCAGGTTCTGATTCAGATGCATCAGCCTTCCTTTGTTTTAGATTTTCACTACACTAACAAAATAATGATGATCAGATGACAATTTTCCCGTAAAGACTCTGGACTTGGTGTAAGCTAATCTGAGCCTTATTTGAGAACTATTTGTATTACATACTTTTAAATAGAGAAGATCTAAGTTGGCCCAGATTCATAAACATTCACACAGCTGAGTTGGGTTAACTGCAAAAAATGGGATTATAACGCTAGAAAATTTTGTGTAAACCCCTTATTAGTGTTGTAATAACTCATCCTGATATTCATAGAATGGCAGGAGGCCAATGTTGTTTACAGGTACGTCATATGAAGCCTAAATACTAACAATTTGGGTTTTTATTTGTTTCAACAAAAAAAAAGTTTGTTTTTTTTGCAGAAAAATGTTGATTCTGACGGTAGTGGGGTGTCTGTGGGGCTGGACAGAAGGTTCATGCTAGAACTGCATCTAGTTGCTGGTGTTCACCTTACAGATGACTAAGCTGCTCTTGTCAAATAAAGCCTCTTCCTGTTTATCTGCTCTCATAAGCCCGACCCGCTGAACTGGCAGGAATGGTTCTTTATAGGTTTAAGAGGAGTCTGTGTGACCATGGATCATGGAGCTCAAGAAATCTGTCTCAGTTTCAGTTTCTACAAATAAAACAGAGTGATTGATGAAAATTTTGGTGGACAGAGGTGTTGGTAAGTGGGAATCACACCTTTAGGCTATGCAGTGAAGTTTGCTTTTAAAAATGACAACTTTAGAGAAATACAATGAAATGAACTCATTTAAAAGCTAAAGAGAAAATATTGCTTTCTTGTTTTAGTCCCTTACAAAACAAACATTTTAGCCTGGTTTGTATTGTTTATTACGGCTCCTTTAATTCCCTTAAAAATCTGATGTTTTTAAAGATTCTTGATTCCCAGATTATTATTTTCATAAGTGACATCTATAAACCATTTAGGAAAGTTTAGCTGATGTTTATCCTGAGTTATAGTTCTCAGTTCTATACACTGTGGACGTATTTTTTTTCTTCTCCTGACTGATATCGTTGTACAATGAGATCCTTCTGATCCTGGGTAACCAGTCTGCAAACTGTGACTTTAGCTGAAGGATGCATGCAAGCAAATGTGAGGCAGATTCTTCTATGGGAGCTTTACTTTGAGTGCATTGCATTGACTGCAACTGATACCATGTGTGTAAGATTGAATAAGACCAAATTCTGAAGGAGCCTGAATTAAGTTTTATTTTTTTTTTGTAGTTGTCTACGGCACTAGTGGCTTGCTTTTTCAAAAGTAGGCTGACAGGAAAGGAGGTATGAGAGCAGGAGACATGCGTCGAGGACTAAGGCCTCTGTACATGGGCCGTGCGCACTAACCACTGCGCCACCTGCACGCCCTGAATTAAGTTTTATTTTAAAACAGCTTGACATTTATATCGAATTCCAGTTTTTTTTTTCATTCACGTGAATTACCCAAAATATTTATGTCGTAACAGTTTTTGAAATACTTCAATATGATCTTTTTTTTCTACGACACACAGACATGGTTTTGTAACCCTTATGTAGACTTTGGCAAGCTCCCGTATTTTGCTTTGGAATAAAAAAAAACAACAACTATGGGTTAAAATAATAATTTTTTTGTTTAGTTCCATGTTAGCCACTGTTTTCTGCACAGTTCGACCAATATCTCCCAGGGGTTGCATGCATCTGCCTCTGTTGCAGTGTGGGCCGAAAGCTGAAAAATGTTTGGAAACCACTCCTCCGCTGTGTTTCCGCTCTCCACAGTATCTCAGTGTTGCACATTTTAAGTTGAAGCCAGCTCTCTTATGTGCTGAATAATCACCACAATCTGCACTGCAACTCAAGTCACAAGACTTTTACTTCTTTACAAAGAATCGAAACAGGAATAAGCTGAGCTATGTGTTTTTTTTTGCTTTACTTTGGCGCCACCTGTAGGACATCAGATTGAAATGTTTAAGATGGGAATAAGATAGCAGCTTTTCTTCACTTTTTTTGAAAAAGCAATTTTTTAAATGTTGGATGTGTTTAAATTGAAAACATTTTTTGTGACGTGGAGCCATGACCATCACTATAATTACAACTTTAATTGACCGAATTATTCCTCCCATTAGCTTAGCCTAAGACAAACAAATGTAAGATATTTTAGAGAACATTTAAAAAAAATAATTAATGATGATGTTATATTTAAAAAAATAAAAATAAGATTCAAATGTTTAGATACCAGCCTCTGATGTCTATTATATATTTATAGTCACTGCATAAAAACAGATGAAAATTTATCTCATGGTTTCACATTTGAAAATTGCTTTTTTTCCCCCTATTTTTGTTACCATGTGGTGCCAAAATGATCCTAATTTTTAAAATTAACTGAATAATGAGGAAGGCGGGAGTTTACCAAAGCAGGATTGCTGTGGATTCAAAAATTTTGGTTCTTGGATTAAGGATTAACCAAGTTTTACTAAGGCTAATGTTAATACCAAATGTCTTTCTACATCAGTCTAACCCATCCCCAATGTCTGCTGCCAATGTAATTTATTTATTTTTTTTGTGTGGGGGGATTTTGAACCCCATTTTGCTTTGTCTGTTTACATGATTAAAGAACACTGATAGCACACGTCTCAACTGAAACAAAAGATTAACATTTCTTTTTTTTTTTTTTTTGCGGTACTAGTGGCTCATATTTTCCGACAGTAGATTGACAGGAAAGGGGCTATGAGAGAGGGGGAGAGACATGCGGCGAAGGACCACAGATCAGATTCGTACCCGGGTCAGCCGCATTGAGGACTTAGGCCTCCATGCATGAGTCGTGACCGCTAACCACCGCTCCACCGAAGCAAACCTGAGATCAAAGTTGATTTTCACATCCAGCGCCTCATATGATCTCAAGGCATGGCTGCTGAATGCACCAATTAATCGGCTTCCATATGCATCTATCAGCCGATACCAATACTAAAAAAAATGCTATTATATCAGCCCAACATATCAACTAACCGATCTGAGCAGCACACTGCAAAACCAATCTAGAAATAAGTAAAAATGTCTTAAATTATGTGTATTTACCCTTAATTTGTGCAGGTAAATAAGATGATTTGCCAAAGGAATGAGTGTTTTTATTCTTGAAATACGATAATTATAAAATATGCACTTAAAAATATTACAATGCAATTGTTTTTTCTTATTTTAAATGTATATTGTCTTGTTCCTTTGCCAAAGTGTTTCACTTACCTCCTCAATTCAAGAAAAAATGCACTTATTTTAAGAAAAAAATGATGTTTTTTGTAGTGCACCTGTGAATTAAGTCAGGCCCATATAATACATTTAAATGGACATGACCTGTTTCTTGTAGCGTTTCTTCACATCATCACAGTTCATTTTACCTGAAAGCCTTCAGTTAAAGTGCAGACTTACATCTTTATTTCCGTAGTTTGAATAAAAAAAGAAAACGGCATCAAAATTTAAGAAGCTGAAACATTTCCTCAAACACAATCCCTCCATTTCTGTCCCCTAAAATGTATTATGCAAAATAAAATGGTCATTTGTACTTTTTACTACTGGCATTTACAGGTTCAAATCCAGATTGTGAATTTACTCTTTCATTTTTTTAATTATTGTTTTGTTTAAAGCTCTATTAGACCTGTGCTCTAGCAACTTAGTTTCTGTTTGTCTGTAAGCCTTGTCTGAATGTCTGACATTCAGCGTCCAACAAGCGAACTGCAGGCTTGATTGGGTTAAGATCAGGTGACTGACTTTGCTATTGAGGAATATTCCACTTGATTTGATTCAATAAACTAGTGTGTGTTGCTAAGTCCTTACTAAGTGACCTAAAGCAGAGAAGTTTAGTCTGATTTTTCTGTCTGAAATCGAGGGAAAAAAGGTTCAGTGTTTTTGTTATTAACCTCCATCCCAACCCTCTCTGTCTTTTCTCTCCAGTCTGAAGGTGTAAAACTAGAGGATTTCACGTGGGAGGTTTTCCTCAAGTTTCTAGACAGCTTGTGTCACCGACCTGAACTGCACACCATCTTAGAGAAATGGTATTTACTTTTTTTCCCTTTAAGAACCTCTTTTTTCCGCTTTTCCTAGCTGAAAAAAACGTTTTATCTCTCTCTGTCCTCCAGCGGCTCTAAGAGGAAACCATTCCTCTCGCTGGACCAGTTCATGGACTTCATCAACCACATGCAGCGAGACTCCAGGCTGAATGAGGTGCTGTACCCCCCACTGAAGCGTGAGCAGGTTCGACAGATCATGGAGAAATATGAGACCAACACCAGCCAGCTGGAGAGAGGTTAGGAGCTCTCCGCTATACTCGGAGCTAGTGGTGCTCTTTTTATCGCGGAATTTTTTCCTTCCTTTTATTAAATATTTCTATTAAATGACAGCAGCTGTGTAAAAAAAAAATTTAGTTTCTGCTGACTTTAGATCCACAGTGTGCCCCCCAAGCTCTCTTTATTGGTGGATTGGAGATAAACGGCAATCTCTTAAAGCAGTATAACTGATAAAACTGATAAAAAAAAAAAAAAAAATCTTGGTTATATCTCTTCTGTTCTGAACATTAGCCAAAATTGTATTTTTTGCATCTTTAAAGACATTACCGAGCAGCTGAGTTAGATATTAGCTTCCATTCTACTAAACCTTTGTCTACAGAGTTTTTTTACTATGAAATAATTAACAATAAAATGAAAATCTAGGAGTCTTTATTTGGGAAGAGATTAAAAAAAAAACCCTCTCCTTCATGTTCTGTGACTTTCCTTCTAGTATTCAGAAAAATCTGCAGTTTCATAAAGATTGAAGCATTATGTAACATGATAATGGCTGAGTGCTGTTTGTCTACAAGGAAACTGAGCTATAAACATATGAGTAGGCCTCTTTAATATTTAGTGAATTGCCTATAAACCATTAAACATCCACTGCCCAACAAAGGCTTAAAGATGGGATGAAAACTTAGCGAATAAGAGGAATGGATCTGTCATTTTTTTCACAGCAAGAAGTGGACGGTTATTTTTATTAACGGCAAAAAAATGTGATCAGATCATTAAGCCAAATCTGAGAACGTGCCAAAGCAACCGGCTTAGCCTCCGAATGTTTCAGCTGCACCAGGTGATCGACTCTCGTCTGACAGGAGATCATGTTTGGGTTTTGATCAACAGTGTTTTGCTGTTGTCTGCAATGACAGAGATGTGTAGCAGGGCATTGCCCTCCAGAAGGCAGTGGGCTCTTTGAGTGGCCTTTTAAGGGCCAATCATTTTCCCCGTCTGACGAGGCGTCAGGCTCAAACATGTGGGACAGCAGGCGCAGGACCTGTTTTATGTTCTGGATTCTGTTCATCCTCTGTTTAAATATGCTCACTTGAAGAAGATTCATAAGTGCTTTTGGCGCTATCGCTATCCGTTCCAGTGTGAATATCCGGCATGTTGGCGAGCCAACCTTCTTGAGTGACATCAGACTTCCAGGTTCGGTATGGGCAAAAAAAAATGAACCAGCTAGAGAGCATGTTGGAGAATTTTTTTAAAAAAACGGCTTTATTTTTAAACATTAGTATCCGATTATCTTATGACCCTAGTATTGACCTTATTTAATGACAGGAGAGCACTTTCAATGCAACGCTTTCTCCCACATTTAAAGGGCTAAAAGCTTTTAGCTGAGTCCAGCTGTTAAGGGGTTAATGCTCCTCAACTCAGACGATAAACTAGTGTCGTCTACATCAAACGTATAACTTGGTAAGAAAATAATTTATTATCTAAATATTGGTGATTTATTAGCAGGAATACAAACAGGTGAAGAAATGTGCATTTTAGCCCCTCCTCCTGAATCAGTTGGGTATAGAGATTGTTTTGTAAAATGATCAAAATAACCCTAGTCTGTCCTGCTTTCTCTTGCAGACCAGATCAGTTTGCAGGCTTTCAGCCGGTATCTCGCCGGTGATGAAAATGGCATCGTACCTCCAGAAAGGCTTGACCTCATCGATGACATGAACCAGCCGCTGGCTCACTACTTTATTAACTCCTCTCATAACACATACCTCACAGGTTAAAAGGCTCTCCAGCAGCATCTCAAGCTTAAAGTTTTAATTTTCCACCTGCTGCTTGTGTAACACGTGGCTGTGTGTCATCCTGTCTGTAGTGGGTCAGCTAACGGGGATGTCGTCGGTGGAGATGTACAGGCAGGTGCTGCTCACCGGCTGTCGCTGCATCGAGCTGGACTGCTGGAAGGGCCGACCGCCAGACGAGGAGCCCTACATCACCCACGGCTTCACCATGACCACTGAGATCTCCTTTAAGGTCTCTTATCAGTCTGCTGGAACATTTACACAAACATTTTTTTTAGGGATGCACGATATAATCGGCCCCCTATCGGTATC